GAAAGGAGGAAAAGACTTCTGATGGGGCCAAAATGAGATGGGTTCTCTTGCCTTATTAAACTGCTTGACTCTGAGATGCGTCGAGCATATATTGGGCACCTGGATCTCAGAGAAGAGGCAGCATCTCTTTGCCCAGGTTTATAACTGCTCATTTGGAGACCATCTATTGGCTGCTCCTTCAATCCTATGCCCTTTGGAACTGTTCTTTCCTATGGTAACTTGTTCTTGGTCAGGAGGCATCAGCAGGTTCATTACATTACACGATGGCCAGCTCTCAATGGGGAGGTAGGATGGAGTGGAAAGAACACGGGGATCAGACAAAGAAACCTTGCTCCAGGGTCCACCTCTGCCCCTGAGGTAGGTTGTTGCAGGAATACTACCAATTTGTTCAAGCCTCACTGTACGCACTCCCTTTTGAAATGGGACTTTTCTGCTCCTTCTATAAAGAAGTTGAGCCTAGTTTTCTACGGCTTTAATCTGGCCTCGGTCATGCTTTGATAAACATGACAAAGGCAGAGGATTAGAAAGTACTTGCACATTGGGTTTTGCTCTCTCTTGCTCCTGGGAATCCCTCTGCCGGGACGTGAACAAGTCCAGGCTAGCTAAAGAATGAAGCCAGATGGAGGGAGCCTCCAGTTGTCTCAGGGGGGTGTTTCCCAACACCAGCAGCCATTTCTGTGATTCTCTGAACACCAGCTGGTTGCTGAACCATTCAGTTCGATTGTGAAACCAGCTACCTACCCGATTTAGTGCAGAATTCACAGCTTAATTAAGGACTCAGTTCCACAAGACTGCCCTCCCAAGCCTCAGTTACCAGTTGCAAGTTCCTGGCCTCCCACACTTCTGACTGACTGGCTATAAATCAGGGGTTCCCATGACCCCCTCCTAAGACTTGACAGTTTACTAGAATGGCTCACGAAACTCAGGAAGATGCTTTCCTTACATTTACTGGTAAAGAACACAAATGAACAGCTGGATGAAGCGGTAGATGGGGAAAGTCTGGAAGGGTCCCAAGCACAAGTGAGTGCTTCCGTCCCTGTGGAGTTGGGGTGCACCACTCACTCAGCATGTGGATGTGTTCACTAATTAGGAAGCTCAGCAAATGTCATTGTTCAAGAGGTTTTATAAAGCTTAATCTCTAGGCCCACCCCACTCCCACTCCTTCTTGGAGGTCGGTGAGTGGGGCTGAAAGTCCCAACCCTCCAATCATTTGTTCTTTTGGGGACCAGACCCATCCTGAAGCTCTCCATGGATCCCCTCTCAAATCACCTCATTATTATAAACTCAGGTATGATATTAAGGGGCTCATTATGAGTAACAAAAACACTCCTATCACTCCGGTTTTAGGATCTCTATGCCAGGAACTGGGGCACAAATACCAAATATATTTCTGACTATACCACTTCCAGTCATTCTTTCTGCATTCCCAGCTTAGACTCCAGGCAAGTAGTGAGGCCACCCTAGACAATTTGGTCACAGAGAAGTATCATCATTTAAAGAATCATTAGACAGACACAGAATGGTAAAAAATGGAAAGCATTTGCTGTTATAGTCCACCAAGTTTGAGGGTAAGCTTGTTACATAACAAAAGCTGACTAATATAGCACCTTTTCAGCTATGAAGACAACGGAAGAAAATAGTTCTACTAAGAATATGAGAAAGATTGTTGCTGTAATTCAGAATGAATATAACCTTGAGCTTCCTGAAAGCCAAGGCAAACAAAAACAATGGGTTATAGAGTTCCCGTTATTTGAAAAAATAAGTATATAAATTCTGAAGAGGTGACATTTTGATGGTCAAAAAAGGAATAAATTATACTTTAGTATTAAAGAGATACAAAACACCATCCTATCTAATAAAAGAGAAACATGGTAATTAGCCGTACATCCGCTACCCTTCCCATTGGCTAATCAGGGTGATATGCAAATTAACCGCCAGCCAAGATGGCGGCCGGCAGCCAGGCACTGAAGCGAACA